ATACCATTCCGGCATTATTGAACTTGTCCAAACTATCATTGTAATGTAATTAATGTTAAATAATAATAATAATAATTTCAGCATTTTCAGCATCATATTACCTTTGGCCTAAGCCTTGTAATGAAGAACCTACAGATACTGTACTATTTACTAGGCCTATAAATAATAATCACCCAAGGGGAATATCTTGTGTTATTTCCCCTTAACGTCGTTTTTTCAATTGTCCTCTAATTCCTCCAAGTCTAAGTTCCCCTTAAGGTACAGGTAATAATAATAATTAATAAATAATAATAATAATCATTTCAGCATTAATTACCTTGGCCTACTTGTAATGAAGAACCTACAGATACTATTTCAAGAACCTACAGATACTGTACTATTTTCAAGGCCTATAAATAATAACTAGCCCAAGGGGAATATCTTTTGTGTTATTTCCCCTTTGTCTAAGTTCCCCTTAACGTACAGGTAATAATAATAATAACAATAATAATAATAATTATTATTATTTTATTATTATTATTATTATTATCATTTCGGCATTACATGTAATTAACTTGGTCTAGCCTTGTAATCAAGAACCTGCCGATTACTATGCCTAATATTCATAACTAGCTCATTTTTACATTCATTTGGTGCTCTGCCATTTTGGCAGGGCAGGACTTATGGCATCCAGTATTTTAGAGCTGCCTATTCTCAGCTCTTCTCTTAATTTGATAATAACTGTCATTCTGTTTCATTTGATCAGTGATGAAGAAAAACGCGCTTTTCCTTACTCTTTGTGCTTTTCCCAGAAAGCGTTTTTAGTAGGCCTAGTAATTATGCAAAACCCAGGCCTAACTAAAAAATTAAAATTGTCATAATATGTAACTCAAGTTAAAATAACACTTTTCCTTACTCGTGCAGCTTAATCAAATATTATATGTCATTTTAAACGACCCATTGGTAAAACATGGTAACATCAATGTATTTTTAAAAATCAGACAGCGACGTTCTCTCAGAAGTTGTTCTGTAGACGTTTATCTGTTGATGACCTTTTGACCTCCTGAATTCTGCAATGAGATTTTCGGGTCGATTCAGCCGAGACGGCCCGAGTGGAGTTTCATGTAAATGTTTCGTACGGAAAAAAAAATCGCGTACGGCGATATGGTCAGAGCGGTCAAGGGTCAAAAGTTTCCAATTTAGCAAGAGGGCGCCATTCATGCCTTATTACAGAATTTGCACGCGTAAATCGCGGAGAAAATCTTGTGTTTATAAGATCTTTGATACAGCTAAACCGCGGCGGCGCATGTTGTGTGATAGTCTTGTAATTTTCTGGTAAACTATAAACTCTAGGAATATATGTCTCAGATTTTGTCCAAATTCTGGTATGTTTTTTCATCACCAAATAAATTTCAAATACAAGTTAAAAACACTTTGTTGCAATTGTGTCCAAACTTTGTTTGATGTGTATGCAAAGACTAAAACAAATGTGTCATTAATTAACAATAACAAAAAACAAAAACAAAAAAAACACAATTATTAACTAAAACCATAATTCCTATAGGAAATATGTATATTGGGATAGAGACAAGCTGTGCCCCAAACTTATCAAATGCTTTTTAATTGTTATAGGTTGGGAGGACATTATAGTCGATAATGGTCAAGAACCATGAATGACCGAGGCCATTTTTAAAATTTATTACCAAAAAATTGTCTGTTTAATAGCATTTTGAGTGGAAGTATTAGGGTAGTTAGAGAGGAAGAAGGTAAATCAAATGATCAAAGTATTGAAACGATTATTGTGGAAAGGGCTATAAAAATGACCATTGATCATCATAAAAGTTCACGGAAGGCCCCTTTGAGGGCATTCAAAGTGCAATTACCGCCCTCGATGTGTTTATCGCTTCAAAATTTTGCAGAAACATTGGCAGAACCCGGAATACTAGAAATACAAGATAAATTCGGTGTGCATGGAACAAACCAAGCTTCGTGAAAATACGTGTTTTTCGCATGTATAGTTCCCCTTTTAGTTCAATTTATAAATCAATTTTTTATTGTAATTGTTGGTGTTAATTATTAAAATTAATATTCATGAGGTGATAATACGGATAGAAAAATACGCCCTCAGTCGGCCAGTGTTATCAGTAGATCAGTGATCAAGTTTTATTATGTAATGCATTAATTAGGTAAGATATCAATGGCAACGCAAATCACAAATAAACAATTCTGAACCCA